TTGACGCCTAAAAATGTCACATTATGAGGATTTGATACTAATCAGAACTACTAGCCAAGGCTTTTCAGGTCACGGGTGCCGACCAAAAGGGAAATAGGTAAAATTTTCAAGAATTGTCTTTGAAACCATTTGGCTTAATGTCATGTTTTCCTATACACATGGGCTTTGTTTAGTGAATTATTTCGTGTAAACATGTATTTGTTTAAGTTATTAGTCATGGTTTGAAGGAAACGTTTTGCACGTCGCGGAATATGATTTTTTGGGTTTTGGCCCACTTTGAACTTTTGAGAAATACCTGCTATTATCGCCACCCTCATTGTCACCCTGAGAATGCTGAGAGGGGATTTTTCTTCTCTAAACTGCTGTTCATGTTAGGATGACCTAAAGTAGGCAGCCTAAATCAAGTAATGGTTTGCTCTTACACTCTTAAGATATTAGCATATGATGCCCCTCTGAGGTCTGTATTTGTATGCCAAAGTGCCAAGCTGTTTTCTTCTTTGAGACAGGCTGGCTGGGGAAAAATAATCACAGAAGGCTTTTACTGTAGCCTGTCCCCAACTCAGACTGGGCTTTTAAAAGTCCGTTTTACACCAGTAATCAGGTGCTTCAGGCGCATATCTCATCTCCACTGTGTTAAAAAATGGCAGTTAGGGTCCCAGCTTGGCCACAGAAACAACTTTTGTCTTGGGTTCATTCAGTAAATATTTGCGTTCCTGCTCTGTGCCAGTCACTGTGGTTGAGATGCGCAGTGTGGCCAGACTCTGGCAACTAACAATGGTAGCCTCTTTTCTGGTGGGGAGAACCGTGAGGGTCACGTGGAAGGGTAGAAAGAGGAAGAGGGAGGCAAGCTGTTCTGGAGCAAGGGCTGGCCCTCTGCAGTGTTGTGAAATTTGTGGTTTGTCTTTGAGGCTTGGTTCCCTCAAGCACCCCAAATCCATGGTCTGAACTTCAGATCCTTGCCTCCACAGTGTTCATGTGCTTCAACTACTTGTTGCTTGCTGTCACCCCAAACCAAAGCCCCGTCTTTGAGAAAGCTTGCTTTAGGTGTTTCTGTAGAAGGGTATTGGGAACCAGCTCATGTATTGAGGTGTGAATGAAGGTTAGTCCTGTTCCCCTCTCATTGGGGAGGCAGCGCTGTAGGTTGAAAGGTTCTGAGTCAGGCCTGTGCTCTACGTATATTGTGTGACACTGGAAAAGTAACTCTGCCATTTAGCCTCAGTTTCCTCATCTGTAAAATGGAATGATGAAATGTACATCTCTTAAGGTTGTTGACAGGTTTAAATGGTTCCTTAATTCTGAAAAGAGGAGATTTGGTAACCTAAAGGAATCTCTCAGTTGGTGAGATTTTAGACACTGCAACAGAATGAACACATTTGGGCAGTGTGTGAAGACTGAGTGTGAAGTCAGTCCCCTTGAGGTTTAGTCTCCCTTTCCTTGATTCTCTAGGGGTCATTTTGTGTCCGTCCCACATGGGCCTGCTCCAGGTTTTCTCAGGGGGATGGGGTTGGGGGTGGGGGATCCTACAGGTGGTCTGAGTCTGGCTTTGTACCAAGGGTCTTCACACACATATGCCGTTTTTCAGTCCAGCAAATATTAATTGAAATCCTGTGTGCCAAGGCATTGGTGAAGGAGAGGCAATAGCAGTGAACAAAACAGATTTAAAAAAATCCATCTCTATAAAGCATAGCTTCTACTGGGGATCTTTATAAGTTAGTCTGCCTGTCAATAGTTTCTAAACCTATGGGTTTATATAAATCTAAATCTGCTGTTGCAGCAGGAACGTAGGAATTTATTTTAGAAACAGAAGTGGTGATATGTGTCTGTTAAAATTATTCGTGTTTAAGAAAATGATTTAAAATTGGAATACTTGGATATTTTACATTATAATCTTGATTTAATGAGTTTCACAGTTTTTTAGTTTTAGAAAAAATAGTGCATCCTTACGACTTTGATGCTCTTATAATTTTGAATTGAGGAGAATTCTTGACATGTTTATTGAGGACTTACTATGTGTTGACACTAAGCAAAGTAATGTTCAGATTACACACAAAGTTATGAGACAGGTCCTGGTCCAAAAACAGCTGTGGCCAATTCATGTGAAATTCATGAAAATTTGTTTTGAGGGTGTTTGATAGAAATGAACATAAAGACAAAAGAACTTTATAGTTTTCCTAGAGTTTAACATGATGGCTCATTTTAAAGCTGTGGATTGATTTATGAAACCAGAAACCTTTCTGTCTGCTTTGCAGTGCTACTATCACGTGTGAATTTCTGAATAAGATTTATTTGTCCTATCCCTTTAAAGAACAAATAGTCAATTTTTTTTTTCTTAGGCACTTTGGTATTTTAAAAGTATATTTTGGCAAGTGCTATACTTCACGTAGTATACTTTATGAGATACTTTATGAGATACTTTATGAACAAGTCTACTTTAAAAATATGTCTTTGCCATTAAGTGGAATGCATTGGTGGGTGTAGAATCATTTGCCTGGGGCTAACAAATTTTATATTTTAACTGGTAAAGAATTTGTGTTTAGAAACGGAGTTTTGAAGGAACGTGTCGTGTATTTATGCACAGATCACCGTTGCTTCTTTATTACTTACTCAAATAGTAAGCTTAGAACTAGGAGCAAACTATTTAGTACCTCTGCAGAGCAGCCTAGCAGGGTCTGTTGTGGAGCAGACATTGTAAATGTGCTTTCTGTGTGTGCACACTAACTTTTTGTTTGAGCCCGGAGTGGGGGTTGGGAGAGGAGAAAGCCTGTGTTGGTGATGTGATTATGTATGCAGATGTGCTGCTGGGGAAGAATTTAGTATCGGCCACTTCTTGCTTTGCATAGAAATTTTCAGGATTGGATGTTACACCCTTAGAGAATAATTTTACCAAATAATAAACCTTTTTTTGTTAACTTGCTTAGGGATGCAATAAAACTCAAAAAAGTGAATCTTAGGTTTTTATGTTTAAAAATGTAATCCTATTAGATGACGCCTTTGATGGTTCCTTTAACGAATCTGAAATTGGTTTTTAGAAATTCTCATAAACAGTGGAGGAGATTGATGTGAAAACAAGATTTGGGTGAAAGGGGTCATGTAATGTTTGAATTTATAACAGCAAAGGCAGGGGCTATTGGATGCAGATTTCAAAATATTCAGAGAAAAAGGAGATATGATCATGGGAGCAGGGTCTCTGAATATTCAGAAGGAGAATTCAGAAAGAGCTGGAGGCTCTAAAAATCAAATTTTAACATAAATAGCCTGGCAAGAGAAAAGTGGATATATATAATAAATTATATTTATGTTGAACTTTACAGCTTATAACATGTTTTTACATACTGTTTTTCCTTCACATTTGAATGATTATTTCCATTAGCCTATAAATGTTTGAGTATTTTTTAAAAACCGCTTAATCTCTCCACCAAATCCCTATCCTGCTACCACCCCATTTCTCTCTTACAGTGAACCTCTAAACATTATCTACATTTACTGCCTCTGATTTTTCCTCCTCCCGCTCTTCTCTTTGTGAAGGTCTTCTGTTGCCGTGCCAGTGGTTTTGATAAAGATGTGGCATGTATAACAGATATATTTGATAGCAGGGTCAGAATTGCAAAGATCTTAATGTGTAGAATGATGAGCTATATAGCTTTAAAAAATTAATAGGAATAAAGACGTAGATTTGGGTTTAAAAAAGTCACCGTGGAGGGGAGCAGAAGGAGCTGAGGGCTAGCTACCTGTCAGATGACAAAGCTTGTGAGCTCTCACTGACCTCACCCCACCTTGCCCTGTCTAATCTTGCGCTGCATTTGGGCCTCAAGACTAGATAACTTCTAAGATCCCTCCCACCTTGAACAAAGTGTGACTGTAAATTAGTAAAGACATGTCTTTTATTTTATTTTAAGGACAGGGTCTTGCTGTGTTGCCCAGGCTGGAATGCAGTGATGTGATCATATCTCACTGTAGCCTCGACCTCAGGGAGTCAAGTGATGAGTCCTCCTGCCTCAGTCTCCCAGGTAGCTGAGACTGCAGGTGCACACCATTATACCTGGCTAATTTTTTTTTTTTTTTTTGAGAGACAGAATTTTGCTCTTGTTGCCCAGGCTGGAGTGCAATGGCGCGATCTTGGCTCACCGCAACCTTCGCCTCCCGGGTTCAAGCGATTCTCCTGCCTCAGCCTCCCTAGTAGCTGGGATTACAGGCATGTGCCACCACGCCCTAATAAGCCAAACCTTATCAGAGGGCTAATTTTTTGTATTTTTAGTGGAGACGGGGTTTCTCCATGTTGGTCAGGCTGGTCTCGAACTCCCGACCTCAGGTGATCCGCCCGATACCTGGCTAATTTTATAAATTTTTTGTAGAGACAGGGTCTCACTGTATTGCCCAGGCTAAGACAAATCTTTTTAAACAAACTTGCTAGACTGTACCCATTAGGGAGAGTGTTGTTCTTGTTAAACCAATCATATTGGGAAGGTGTATTAGTCTGTTTTCATGCTGCTGATAAAGACATGCCTGAGACTGGAAAGAAAAAGAGGTTTAATTGGACTTACAGTTTCACGTGGCTGGGAGGCCTCAGAATCATGGTGGATGGCAGAAGGCACTTATATGGCAGCAGCAAGAGAAAATTAGGAAGATGCAGAAGTGGAGACCCCTGATAAAACCATCCAATCTGGTGAGACTTATTCACCACCATGAGAGTAGTATGGGGGAAATGCTCCCATGATTCCAGTTATCTCCCATCGGGTCCCTCCCACAACGCTGGGATTTATGGGAGTACAATTCAAAATGAGATTTGGGTGGGGACACAGAGCCAAACCTTATCAGAGGGTGTGTGTATGTGTACACATATATGCACATATTATGCAGCAGTGAAGACATTAAACGTTATTAGCATGACAGTGTTTAATGTTTGTGATATTACCTTTTTGATTGAACAATTTTATAAAGCCTGCAATAGGTAACATTTTTATCGTTGACAAAAATTTAGATTTGAATTTGATAAAAATTTTAGATTTGAATTTGGACAATAAATAAAAGTTATTCAGAGGCAATTGTGAATAAGATATCTGCTTAAGCAAGGCAATGAAAATTTTGTTAAAGAAAAGAAGGAAGGAAACTTAATTTTTTTTTTTTTTTTTTGAGATGGAGTCTCGCTCTGTCACCCGGGCTGGAGTGCAGTGGCCGGATCTCAGCTCACTGCAAGCTC